CATTAATGAACAGCAAATGTCACTGCTCTTTGTCGGCCGAATGGAAAGGTTTCATGTCGATGTGCACACAAGTACAAACTTACAAAATAAGTGGAAAAAGTACTCGTGAAATCCAAGTGAACATCAAGTTCGTGCAAATTAGTTTTTTCCATGGAAGTTCATTCAAATTACCATTTTTCCAGGGAAGTTCATACAAATTAGTTACTTGGAGATTAGTAGCAATGTGTGTAACTTCTTGGAGATAAAATGGAGAATCGGATGGGATAAGGGCATCTCCAACACGGGCGCTAACAGTGGGGCGCTAGGATTTGTTTCCCAGTCAATTGGCAGTTGCCACGCTTAATCCTGGCATCAGCTGCCTCGTCGGCGCAAAGCTAGGAGGCGGGCGCTAGGCCTTTTTCTTTGGCGAGCTGAGACTAAGCGCTGTTCCAAATCCAGGTATTTAGCATCGGTTGTTAGTGCCTTGCATTGGAACAGATGTCGCTTAGCGCTTTTAATTTTTCTGGTATGTTTTTATATGTGTTTAAGCGTCTAGATAACCGCCTTTCATTGAAGATGCCCTAAGGAGTCAGTTGTTTGGCGAGACGTAAATAAGCAAGAAATAACAACAAAATGTCAAAATTGAAACAAATGTGAATGTTTTTTCCCAATTTGCAAGCAGTTTCTATACATTTACAATCAGGCTCCCAGCCTCATTCCAGGAGGCATGAAACCAGAAACAAATGGAACCAAACGACCACAACAATAATTTCGGGAACGGAACTCACAAGCACACCCCAATCTACAGATAATTGTACATAACCACAAATGAGTGGGCATCGGAGGACATTTCATCATTTCTTCTTGGCAAATTCCTTAGCTTCCTTCTTTTCTCGCTCCAACTTCTCAAACACGCTGCCATCATAGACCGCCTTGACAGTCTCCTTGTGAAGAAATCCCTCCTTGTCTTTGCACAGCGCGTAGAGAAGTCTCCACTCTACGAAAGCGCCCACCCTGCCATTTTTTTTTGTGTGTGGGTGTGCCAAAAACATGAGCTAAAAAAGAACGCGATAGTTGCATTACATTATTCATACTTCAGATGAAGTAACCTTACCGTCCGGCGAAATCTTTAGGATCCCTGTTTGCTTTAAGCATCTCCCCAAGCTCTTTGTCCGTTAGGGCATCAGGCCTAGTGTGGGCATGCTTCTTGAATATCTCCTCAAACTTTTCAGGAACAAACCTGCAATTTTGACAAACTGAAAAGTTAGCAAGTATGCACCCATGGTAGTCATTCTAATTAAGAAAGCCAATTATCTAGAACTGTATCACTGTATTCCTTCTAAAACAAACTAGCATTGGGAAGTGCAACTTGGCAGTAGTAGGAGTTCCCTAGCATCATACAAGAGCAATCTATTATGCCACTGGCCCATGTTGGCAACCATACCTTTCACCTGCTATTTTGTTATCCATCAAAAAAGAAACTGCTATTTTGTTTCTCTTAGGCTTTAGGGAGTTGCGGCTAACATCGAAGCCCCAAGGGGTGGACCTTATATTTAGAAGCTTTTATAAAGCTCTGAAGATAAGCCGACTCCTACATGTATACGTAGACGTTGCCTATATACTTGTAATACCTCATTCGTAATTACATGCATTTGTGTGCTATAGGGGGAAAAGATGGGGACCTATAATAGCAAAAGTATACCGTTATAGATTGACGCATGCTTGTTTTTATTGTACCACCTAAATGAAACGGATTTGCTTTAGATCAATGAATCGACTACTATTTACTTGTATGGGATCATTTGATTGTTGTAGTTTGCTCTCCAATTGCACATTTGAACTATATACATGTCTAATTATATTTTTCATATCGGATTTGAAAGTCAGTCGATTCCTTTTAATTTGCCATGCAGTTGGCCCTTTTAGAAATGTGCAACTATGTTTCCTTTCATATTTTACCAGTTACCAGTAATTTTACAGTTTGTATACTTTGAAAGGGAGGTACTAGTATACTCTTCCGTAGATCATGTGCATGGGGTAGCAATAAGTAGAATGCATGATCTGGCCGCCCTAGGGGCGATGGACACATGGTACTAGTAATGTGAGATAGGAGTACTGTAGTAGTATCTATAAGTACCTTCCCTGGGTGTCGTACACGTCTGTATCACTCCCATGCTTGCCCTGCTGAATGGTCTTTACGTAGATGGGGAACTTGAAAGCTGGAGGCTTCACGTTCGCCTGCAGCAACAGAACGAGAATCAATAATAACATAAATTAAAGTATTAAACTCGAGTTCTTTACGCCAGAAATAAGAATGCATGAAAGCCCATTTCGTGCCACGTCAAGAGAGATCTTTGTTCGGTTTTGATGATTCCAACTGCTTTACAGTGATGTAGAGTACGTGGTATGCCTTGTTTCGATCTCGCTTTCATTTCTGGTAAAGAGGCTCAGGCTGGCATCTCCTTTGCCGCCGAAAGAATGCAACTAGACGAAAGGGCAGAGACTACCAAGCCATCAACTAACAGTATAGCAGTACTACTGTACATACCGGTACCGTCTTGGGCGCGAGGAAGCCGTTGATGAAGACGGTGCCGGCGGCGGACAACACGACGCCGCAGCCGATGGCGCGTAGCCCTTGGTAGGTCTCGGAGGGGTAGATGATGCCGTCCTTGTTCCGGTCGAAGAAGGCGGCGTGCTTCTGCAGCGGCGTCAGCTCGTGGCTGCTGTACAAGTCCGCCATGGACGACTCATCCCCCTGCTGCTGCTGGCTCCCTGCGGCGTCCGCGGGTTTGGAGCCCATGGATGGATGGATGGTTTCGGCCGGCCGGCGATCGAGGGGCAGGAAAGCGGTGAAGATCAGCTGGGTATATCGGTAATGGTGCCAAGGTGGCGCGGGGAGAGGAAAGCGGGAGTGGCTTGCGCTGGTGTGGTTGTACGCAGGGAGCTCGTGGGGTATATGTAGTGCTAATCCCATCCATCGGTGCCGTGCGCGCGGGCACCATCCAGCCATGCATGCGATGCACTTCATTAAATTTCTCCAGGATCTCGTTTCCTTCCTTTGACTTCGCACCGCCCCACCTCTGGTTTCTTTATACGGAAGCTTGTCGACGTTGTGCGGCCACGTATGCAGAGCGTGTAGTATATATTTATTTATTCGAAAAGGATTCAAATATGTTATAAAAGTTCAATCAAGAAGGAGTACAAAGCAACTCAAACATAATAAAAATTACATCAAAGTCTCTAGACTACCCACGACTACTACCGCTGCCAGAATGTGTCGTCGACGCGTCACTGTAGTTGCACCCATATCAGAGGGGCTTGACTTTGTCGATGATAACCAGAAAATCTTCGCGTGTATGCCCTAAGAACCAGCGAGCTGGAGTTGCAGTCGTCGCGGTTGAACCCTTGAGTAGTTCTGAAGCAACTGACACCAAACCTCGCCGCTTCAAAGAGATAGCGGAAATATATACCAGAGCTCCTTTGACCACATACAGATAGATCAACTCAAGGAGGATTAGAGCCTACAAGATAGACTCGAAGAATAAACGCCGCCACCCGCCCAAGTGTCGCACGAGCGAGGACTAAAAAACCCTTACCTAAACTACTAGTCGAAGCAAAGAAACTGAAATCTCCCCTCACTGCCACCGACCACCGGAGCGGCATGCAAAGGGAGGCAAATTCATAGGCTAGAGGGAAGAGTGTGCCCTAGCCGCCAAGGCATTACAAGAAATATGTCAACTAGTGACTTTCTTTTAGTGACCCTAGCTGAATTGGTCGTAAATCCACGGCCATTTCGCTTGGAAGGGCTCAAACCCTGAATTACCTTACACGAAATGGTCATAAAGCAGACAAGGTGGTCCATGACCTTATTTCTACCTGATTATGACCAATATAAATGGTCATGAGGTTGTGAACATGGATGCATTAGTACTTATTGCTATGACTAGGCGCCACCTCATTAGTTTTGCCTATGTGTCATGTCCATATGGCAGTTTTTGCCCTAGGTTGTGAGCAACCTATATTTCTGCCATTCCCAAAATTCCCCAAAAATTCTCATAAATTCTTTGGGTCATATCTTCATCAAATATGTAAAAAACCTTCCTTACCTAGTTCATAAATAATTCAAAAATATTCATTTTCCTATTCTATTCAGAAAAACACTTTGTGAAGGAAGTACCACTTTGGCATGTCCAAATGGTATCCATTTTCTACAGTGCTTTCATATGCCCAAATAAACATCCTCCACCAAATGCCAGCTCAATCCATTCATTATTTCGAGCCCAGCTTCAACATTCGTATTTATGTCCAGTGTGGTACTTTGCAAACCAAGTACCACCTAGGCTCCTCCTTTTGAGCTGAAAATTTGTGAAGACGGTCTTCTTAGTAACTGATCATCCTCAGCCAAAACTCACGCCCATTAGCCATGTGCATTTCCTGTACCGCTAATCAAACACTTGACTGCTTATTCATGTTTGAGCATCGATCGGTCTCCTCGTGAGAATCTTATGTTGTGATTTTCTTCCTAGCACCTACCTGGGGAGTGCCCAACCCACTAGACATGCCTAGGCTGCCCAGAACACATGGAAACGCCAAGGTCACATGGTGACCATGTGACGGGCATGCGAATTTACGCGCTCTAGAGTTGGGCCCTCGGTCACCGTCCAAACCTCGACGTATCACCACCAAACCATGTATTTATGATTAAATAGGTACTTATGTAACTAGAAATGATTTTTGGAAAAAATAAATAGCAAACTATGAGGCAGCTGCAGTTCAAATTTGACCCGCTTCCTCCTGAATCAGCGGGAATTTGTCTTTTTCACCAGAGGTGGATCAAAACTTTTGACACCCAACCATTTTGTCAATTATGCATTAAATATGTCCTAGTATTTTATAAAAATGATTTGGTGCAATTTTGCAACAAATATATGGTAAGTCCTTCACAGAAAAAAAACTCATTTCGGGCACTCAGAAAATGGAAAATGAATTTTTCGTGCAAAGAAAATGAAAAATCCCTTATGCAACATTGTTTGGAATTCCAAGATGCACCCTTGTGCACAATATGAGATCATTTGAATAAACTTTGCCATGAATGTGGCCATAAGATTGATTATTTGGCTTGAAAGCCATGAATCTTCATGCATGATAGCTCATTTCTGAGAACACTTTTTTAAAATAATTGTCGTATTACAAGTTTATTATTTTTCCTGGAAACTTGTTCATATATAATGACACAATGCGAAAGGTATCCAATTTTTTGAATTGTTTTGAATTTTTTATGCTCGTTTCAAAATGTTGTCAAAACAGCGGTCATGACCGTTCCTAGCTAGTGGTTGAATCTTGGATTTTTTTGGTGTTTCTCTGATTAAATAGATACTTATGTAACTAGAAATTATTTTTGGAAAAAATAAAGAGCAAACAATAAGGTAGCTGCAATTCAAATTAGACCCGCTTCCTACTGAATCGGCGGAAATTTGTCTTTTTCACCAAAGGTGGATCAAAATTTTTGAAACCCAACCATTTTGTCAATTGTGCATTAAATATGTCCTAGTATTTTATAAAATTGATTAGGTCCAATTTTGAAACAAATATATGGTAGGTCCTTCACAAAAAAAACTCATTTCGGGCACTTAAAAAATGGAAAATGAATTTTCCGTGCAAAGAAAATGGAAACTACCTTAGGCAACATTGTTTGGAATTCCAAGATGCACCTTTTTGCATAATATGAGATCATTTGAACAAACTATGCCATGAATGTGGCCATAAGATTGATCATTTAGCTTGAAAGCCATGAATCTTCACGCATGATAGCTCGTTTCTGAGAACACTTTTTTAAAATAATTATCGTATTATAAGTTTATTATTTTTCCTGGTAACTTGGTGATACGTCTCCGTCGTATCTATAATTTTTGATTGTTCCATGCCAATATTCTTCAACTTTCATATACCTTTGGCAAATTTTTATACTATTTTTGGGACTAACATATTGATCCAGTGCCCAGTGTCAGTTCCTGTTTGTTGCATGTTTTATGTTTCGCAGAAAACCAATATCAAACGGAATCCAAATGGGATAAAAATGGACGAAGAATTATTTTGGAATATTTGGGATTTTCCGGAGGAAGAATCAACGCGAAACGGTGTCCGAGGTGGCCACGAGACAGGGGGGCGCGCCCACCCCCCTGGGCGCGCCTGGCACTCTCGTGGGCCATCCGTAAGGCAGTTGATGCTCTTCTTTTGCCGCAAGAAAGCTAATTTTATGAGAAAAATCTGGGCAAAAGATTCACCCCAATCGGAGTTACGTCTCTCTAGATATAAAGGAAACGGTGAAGGGGCAGAATCGGAGAACGCAAAAACAGAGAGAGACAGATAGATAGATCCAATCTCGGAGGGGCTCTCGCCCCTCCCACGCCATGGGAGCCAAGGACCAGAGGGGAAACCCTTCTCCCATCTAGGGAGAAGGTCAAGGAAGAAGAAGAAGAAGGGGGGCTCTCCCCCCCTTGCTTCCGGTGGCGCCGGAACGTTGCCGGGGGCCATCATCATCACTTCAATCTTCACCAACAACTTCACCGCCTTCATCACCAACTCTTGCCCCCTCTATGCAGCGGTGTAACCTCTCTCTTACCCTCTGTAATGTCTACTTAAACATGGTGCTCAACGCTATATATTATTTTCCGATGATGTATGGCTATCTTATGATGTTTGAGTAGATCCTTTTTGTTCTATGGGTTAATTGATGATCGTGATTGGTTTGAGTTACATGTTTTATTATTGGTGCTGTCCTATGGTGCTCTCCGTGTCGCGCAAGCGTGAGGGATCCCTGCTGTAGGGTTTGCAATATGTTTATGATTTGCTTATGGTGGGTGGCGTGAGTGAACAGAAGCACAGATCCGAGTAAGTAGGTTGTTTGCGTATGGGATAAAGGGGACTTGATACTTTAATGCTATGGTTGGGTTTTACCTTAATGAATCTTTAGTAGTTGCGGATGCTTGCTAGAGTTCTAATCATAAGTGCATATGATCCAAGAAGAGAAAGTATGTTAGCTTATGCCTCTCCCTCAAATAGAATTACAATAGTGATTACCGGTCTAGTTATCGATTGCCTTGGACAAATAACTTTCTCGTAACAAAAAGCTCTCTACTAATATTTACTTTATTGCTTCTTTATCTAGACAACCCCTAATTTTTATTTACATGCTCTTTATTATCTTGCAAACCTATCCAACAACACCTACATAGTACTTCTAATTTCATACTTGTTCTAGGTAAAGCAAACACTAAGCGTGTGTAGAGTCGTATCAGTGGCAGATAGGGCTTGAGAGAATATTTGGTCTACCTTTAGCTCCTCGTTGGGTTCGATACTCTTACTTATCGAAATAAGCTACAATTATCCCCTACACTTGTGGGTTATCACTTGGCCACATATAATGACACAATGCGAAGGTTTTCCAATTTTTTGATTTTTTTTTGAATTTTTTATGCCCGTTTCAAAATGCGGTCAAAACGGCGGGCATGACCATTCCTAGCTAGTGGTTGAATCTTGGAAAATTTTTGGTGTTTCTCTGATTAAATAGATACTTATGTACCTAGAAATGATTTTTGGAAAAAATAAAGAGCAAACTATGAGGCAGATGCAGTTCAAATTTGACCCGCTTCCAGCTGAATCGGCAGGAATTTGTCTTTTTCACCACAGGTGGATCAAAACTTTTGACACCCAACCATTTGGTCAATTGTGCATTAAATATGGCCTAGTATTTTATAAAAATGATTTGGTCCAATTTTGCATCAATTATTTGGGAGGTTCTTCAAAAAAAACCTCCTTTTGGGCACTCGAAAAATGGAAAATGGTTTTTTCATCCAAAGAAAATGAAAACTTCCTTAAGAAATATTGTTTGTCATTCCAATATGCACCCTTGTGCACAATATTAGATCATTTGAACAAACTATGCCATGAATGTGGCCATAAGATTGATCATTTGGCTTGAAAGCCATTGATCTCCACACGTGATAGCTCGTTTCTGAGAACACCTTT